AGAGGAGACACTGTCCTTCTTTGCTCCAGCCTGCACGGGAAGTCATTAACTCAATAAAAACGACTTCTTCCGTTGTTTTTTCCCTGGCTACCTTTCACCTCTTCCAAAAAAAGTTGGCTCAGCCCAGCTAAGGAGAAATAGGTCTTTAGGACATTGTCTTATTACACCAGAAAACTCACTAGCAGTCAGTGCGTGAGAGCAAGGGCTCCTGCATATAGCTGAGAGTAGCAATGATGTTTTTCTTTGGTCCAGAGAATGAATTTCATCCATATAGTCTTCCAAAGAAAGTGGGTCAGACACTTGGAGCAAACCCCACTGATTCAAGCCTTGTTTATCTTGGTGAAATAGCCTAGGAAAAGGAATCACCTTTGCAGATGCTACATGGCTTTCTTGCATTCCCTGGAGAATTGCATGTCAGCCCCACTCAGTTGCAAGCTGTACCAGAGGTAATTAAACGGAGGGCTGGTTTTTACCTTCATGACGTCATGTCTTTCATAAGTGGATAATGTTGTCTTGTGCTGTGATCTGTATTGAATGTGGTTTGTGCACGTCAGCTCAAAGTCTTAATGAGTTTTAATGAATTAAAATTGAGATTCCTGGATCTGCTTCCAGGCTGACAAGAGAGGTTAACTTAAAAGTGTGAGTTAGCTTTGCTATTGGACTTCATTTACCTCTTACTAGTATGTCTAGAAAGAAGAATTATTGTGCTGCAGATGCAGAAATAGGGACAGGCTCCTGCTTGTGCTAGAAACTTTGAAATGTAGATCAAATCTCTAAGGATTTAATGGGTACTTAGAAGACACAGAGTTATGAAACAAATAAAAAGAAAATGTTCCTTTACCCAACTCATAACTGAACTGTGAAACTCTGTCACGGGACTTAGAGGAGGTCAAAACTATAAATATGTAAGGGGAAGAAAAAAAAAGGTCAGATGGGTCATAGTAAAAAACCCTGCTTATGAGCATAGCAAAAATACATATTCTGTATTTTCCAGATGAGCAAAGGTAAATAAGGACAAAAAAATCTGCTCATGCATGCTCCCTTCCTAAATTTCAGTCCTAATTAGAGGGAAGATCCATTATTTCTTATTTTTACTGTCTTCTTGTGTAGCCCTCATTTTAAATGATGATCTGTTCCATCTTAAAGCAGATACACTTCACTGACAAGAAACATATTGCCCCTATTTATCATGTAAAACTCCAGGGAAGGTTGCCGAGTATGTGCTTGCTGGACACTAAACTGGTGGAGTTTTCTGGTCTCCCAGGATGGAAAACATCCTAAACACATTCCTGGAATATGCAGAATTTGGATTCAACGTATGCTGTCTTATGTCTGAATGGCTACAGAAATTTCAGGGCAGCAGCAACCCTCTGCTCCCCAGTGCTTTTAAACTTGCAGGAGGTGGCACTGGGTTATTCATCAGAAATAGCTGCTTCTCCATGCATCCCTGGCATCGGGGTGGGTCAGCTAACAGACCCGTGTCAGTCACATGCATGCTGAGATCTGTGATGTAAGGTGTTAGAAAGGCAAAGAATTACTTTACTGTCCTGAATTTTCCCAGCGAAGTGCGCAGCAGTGCTGACAACTACTCTCCAAGTTCCTTCACCTCCCATGAAAAGCCAATGGCCACCTCTCCATCCCACCAGCATTTACTACCTGAAGACAAAGGAGCGCGTTGTGAGGGTTTTGTAGCGCGGTGGTGATGTCTGAACCCTTAGATATTCCTCACCTAGAGAGCAAATACAGTTGCTGAATGATCATATTTTTCTTCTTTCAAGCACAGGGACAGGAGATACAGTTGCAGCAGCAATCGCAGAAATGACTTGGGGTTATCAAAACAATTGCAGCACACATGAACAAACACTTCAGCCTTGCCAAGCCAAACTGGAGGGAGCATTTTTCTTGGCCGAGCGTGCTCCCAGCTGATTGCGTTCAGCAACTGGCAAGGCAGACGGAAGGCAGGGTGCAGTCCAAATCAAAACGTGGCAAACTCGAGTCTCGTGTGCCAGTCTGGGCTGTGTCCTCACTGGGTTCCCTGTAATGGCATTTTCTTTCTTGTACTTGAGTAGTTGTTCCTATTTGTGCAAAATGAGCAGGTGCACAGCTCTGCCTTTTGGCAATGGGACCTTCTTATTCCCACTTGGCGCTTGCTTTGCTCCCGTGTGTGAGATGGCACAACGATCCCACTTGCTTCCAGTACCCTGGAATGAGTGAGGGTCTCGTGCTGACACAGCAGTACCTACAGGAATCCAAAAGGGAGAAGGAAAAGATCTGTACTTTTTGTAGACCAAAAGCCTTTCCAGACCTGGGCAGCAAGACAGAAAATCTATTTTCTGTAAGGCTTGAAAGTTCGTGCAGGCTCAAGGGGAGAGAAGACTAAACTCTCCCCATCTCTGGACTTGTCCAAACTAACCAATCTATGTTGCCAATTTATAGGCTGATCAGTTGCTCTTGGAAGTACATAGCACTTAAAAATGGAAGGAATCTTTTTTTTTTTTCCCCCTCTTGGACTGTGATAGAAAAACCTTAATCTGTTTATAGAAGTCAGTTTGTGTGTATGTGTGTGCCTATGTTATGAGAAGGAATGCAAATGTATGAAAAACACAGTCATCTCTTCATTTCCAAGTCCGTAATCTCAAGAGTTTGTAGTGATACTGGCTGAGAAATTGTGTTTCAATACTTCGCTGGACCAAGTATGTTGGACAGATTATCCTCATGTTTCATGCCAATGCAAATGAGAGAAACTCCACAGAAACCCATGATGTTCCACCAGAATAATGTTAGGGGAGGGAGTAAGGCCACATCCAGTAGGTATATTTTGGATCAGATATCTGAAATTTCTCAGTGTCCAATGGGTTTGGATTAAGGGCTTTGGCTCCAAAGGAGATCTGCTCTCAAGTGTCACCCCTCCCACTACCAAAACATAGTGGAAAACGTGGCTAGAAAAGTCTTCTGTGTATTGTGGTGTGTTGTACACGCTGTGTCAGTGTTCATTGTGTCAAGAGCCACAAAAGAGATGCTGCTGTCTCCACCTGAAACTAAGGAGCAGCACTGTGAGTAAACCGTGCCAATACCTGTGATGTCCTTTCCCTGGAGCAGTGCTGTGATGCAGACAGCTTTCCATCCACTTTTCATTATCTGCTTTCCTTTGGGGGAAGAGCTGGTACCCCCCAGAGCTGGAAGCACAAACTAGGAATTGCAGGGTAGGCAGGTATGGATGCTGTATCGCACACTCCTGAGCTCCTCGGGGCATCACCCCTCCTTTGTCCTTACTGTGGCCCGTGGCTTTAGAGCCACAGCGATGGCTCTGCTGTCTCAGAATGAGCGACGTGTGAGCAGGGCAGTGGGTCACCAACCGTGCTCCTCAAACGTCACTTCGTGCTTCCACATGCGCTCTGTGCTTCTGTGCATGTAACCAGACATTCAGTGTTGATTCCTACAGCATGAAAATGCTTTAGCATCTCAGACCTCTCGGGTTCCCTGAGGAGGCCACCAAAATCCTGCTGCCCAGGAGCAGGTAGTGGCAGAGCTCTGCAACCATCACTGTGTTGGCTGAGGTAGACACAAAGGACTGATCCAGCGCCAACCTCCTCCCTAGCCAGAGGCACATGCTCTTCATTAATGGCCACATTGCATGACTCGGGGGTTGCAGAGGAAAATAAAAACAGTGAGCTCATCAGAGGAGGAAAAACACGAGTGAGAGGAATTGTTGTAAATATTTATATCTTCAGGGCCTTTAATGGGATTGTCAGTTTCCCTTTCTGCATTTAAGCAGCCAAGTTGTTGTTTGGGACGGTGTTCTTACATTTTTTTGAAGGGTATGTTTTAAGCCTACACATCCACACCCCATGCCCAGGCAGCCCCTAATACCCAGTCCTGGTTGGAGCTGAGGATACTCGGTGCTATCTCCACAGGCACTCAGCGCCCTGACAGCCTCTGCCTCACAGCCCAGTATGTAAAGAAAGAGCTGCCTCATCCAGATGGACTTAAAACTAGAGGAGAAAATCCATCCCCAGGGCAATTGCCTTGACGTGACTGCCTGGATCCAATCTGACTGCAATGGCTGTGCACTGGGGTGCGTCCCGTGGAAGGGAGAGATATTTGACGTGCCTGTATGCAACTGCTTTCCCTTTGGAAGGCTCTCTGTTGCTCTTGGAGTGGAGGGCTGTGATAATAGCCAACTGCCTGCTGAGCCCTAGATGCAAATTTTTTGCATGAAATAAGAGCCTCACGCCCACATAAACTTAAATTGTTTCTATGGAGAATATCCTGGACCAGTGTAAAACCTCACCCTGCTTGCTTTATTAGAAATCCTGGGAGACCCTCAAACGTATGCATATATTTATACTTTTTTAAAGCTTATGAGAGTGAATTATATTAGCCTGATAATGCGAAAAGCATTTTTCATGAGGTGGCACAGCCTTCTGGAATGAAGTACAGGCCTGGGAGACAGAGGCTGGGGGTTTGTTACTGCTTTGCAGTCTCCATGGCATTTTACTTCTACTTGGTTTTGCTTTCTGGCCTTTGTTCAGGCTGTAATGATCTGGGGCAGGATCTGTACACGTGTGCAATGGCCAGTGAAAGCAGCTGCTGATTTTAGCTTGGGTGTTCAGGTGAAACAGTGATTGCTATGAGTTGATTAGAGCCAGCACTGACTATGGCTCCAGCTGGGATTAGGAGGCTGGAGAATCAAAGATCTTGGACTTTGAATTTGCCGTTACCTCACGTAGGGCTAGGGGTCACCTAATGAGCAATACGAGCCTGGAGTTGCAATTAGGAATGCCTGTAACGCAGGGCTTTTGGAACACCTCCTGTGGTCCCTCTTGCTCTCGGGGGCTGTTGGCACCAGCACACACAGCACTCTCTAATCCCGCGGTATTGTGACAAAGCTCTCAGCGGCACATCCTGTTGTTTTCTCCTTGGGTTTTTGAAGAGACATTCTAATTACGTTAAAGAACACAGTATGGATTTACTATTCTCTTTCTCTTTGATTCTTCTAGATCATCAAAGAGCCTCCCCCACCTCCTGCAGAAGACAGCGAGGTGAGTAACACCAACAACCTGGTTTCCTCAATGTTTCGGACAAAATTTTGTTCAATCTCCTCACAAGGGGTGGTGATTCTGCTGCTTGGCCAGAGTATGGACCATTTACACCTTTGTGCTCGTCTTTGTAGCCTTAAAGTCAATAGTGCTTCAGCTAAACTAGGGGCTTTTTAGCTGATGCTGCCACATGTTTCGCTCTGCTCACTTTGCTTTCTACAGAGGTAGAGTCGTGTGTTTTATTTAGTGAAGAGGGACTATAGAGCATCACTGGAACTCCATGGAGCAGGTAAGGAAGGAGAAAACAGCACTACAGAGTTAGGCTGTGATTCACAGAAAGGAGAACTCTTAAGCGTACGTTTAACTTTGAACTTAATGGAACCTTAACATATGCTTAGCATAAGACAATATTAACATATGCTTAACTGCCTTCCTGGAATGGCACGGCAATGCCCCCTCTCTAGAAGTGTCCAAGGCCAGGCTGGATGAGGCTTGGAGCAACCTGGTCTAGTGGAAGGCATCCCTGCCCATGTCAGGGGGTTGGAACTGGATGATCTTTAAGGTCCCTTCCAACCCAAACCATGCTATGGTTTTGACACTTTAGCATATATAGCTGCTCTTGGCAGCTGAGCAGTAATTCAGAATGCCGACCCCTTGGACTATGGTTGCTGTGAGCAAACAGTCTTTGCATTGTGCCTGAAGACAGCAGGGCAGATTCTGAGCAGATGTAAAACCCCAGTAAAATCACCCTGACATCAGGAGAGCGGCAGTAGCCAGGGACGTTTTGATGGAGAGACATGGGAAAGCAACGCTGAAATCTTCATCAGTTCTGCTCACTCTTTTTAGATTAATCTAGCAACAAATGGTTTAAAGCTATGTCGCCGTTACTTATTTAGTAGACTTTGCCCAGAAACATGCCCAGTTTTTCATCTGCCTCTTTCTGTGTCCTCCTTTCAGCACACAATGAGTCTCTGCTTTGCTTTCACTGCCTTGCACATGGGATTTCACTGAAAAGGCACTGGGCTGTGTTCAGGGCGCGCTGATGTCAATGGGAGTTTTTCCATTGACTTCACTGGGGTTTGGATCAGTTCCCCTTCACTATGCAACTAAGAGAAGACTTAGATATATGCTCAGAATGATTTGGTTGGTTAGTTTGCCTTACTTCTTGCATCTGGAGGCAAACTCAGCTTCAGCTGCAAGTGGAAAAGCTTGCTGAAACGATCCTCTCGGAGCTCCCCATAAAGCCCAGCCCAGTGGGTGCGGTCTGTGCCATGGCAGACAGACACCCTTAAAGCTCAGTCCTCTGCAGCGCTACAGAGGTGGAATCCAACCTACCTTCTGCCCGCACCGAGCACAGAGACATAGTTCAGGGCAGCTGGAGCCAAGGCCAGTAATAGAACCTCCGTCTTGGTGGCACTCGTCCCCTTCAAAACAGGCCTGAAGCTAAACTCCAAATCTGAACATTCCTGGAGCCAAGGGAGATTTGCATTTGGAACCAGTGCTCCTTGTGCCTCTATATGCGGGCAGCTGGCGTGTTTTCCATAGTAGGCATTTCTGTTTGGGCTGTATGTAAATCCACTGGCTTTGTTAGCTTCTACCCTCTGAATGAAAAGGAAAATGTTAACCTCAAATTGCACATGCTCTGTTCTGTATCGCGCATTCCTCCAAGCCAAGGATTCAACTGCTGAAATTAATTAAAATACATCATTCTGGAATGCTGGCTCACAAGCCAAGGTCTGAAAGGGGAAATTACATCTCTGTGCTGAGAGGGAAGGCGTGCTTCACGTGTAAGGAAGCCTTTTATCAAACCAGTAAGTGCTGCAAAAGCAGACCAGTTGCTGCAAAATAAACTAGCTGCAGCAGACCAGTTATATTTGCTTCAGGTTAAGTTTAGTTAAATTGGTGTAAAGATATTTCTGGACATGTTATATTTTCTCTCAACCCTCATTCTGACAGAGGAGAACAGTCTGTGCAGCTCTTGGGAGGAAACAGTCCTCAGCTCATCTATCTGGTTCATAGCTTTCCGTTAGCAATACGTTTGCCACCGGCTTTTTATTTTAAACTAACCTGGTCTTGTACTGCAGAGAATGTGGGGCAAATCCTTTTAGCACAAAAGCAGATTGTTGTTCTGCGTGATCTCAGGCTTGCTCTCTGGAGATGGCAGTTTTGTCTTGTCCAGCCTTTGGTTTACCCAGAGTAGGACACTGAACAGCACTTGAAAAATTACATTAATCCCATACCTGTAGTTTACCCTTGCTTGTTAATTAAAGATTCTTTATTCTTACTGGTTTGGGACCCTGGAATGGGGGATTGTGGTTACAACAATGTGCCAGCATCGTAGGGACTAGTCTGATGGTATAGTTTCATACACACTTTCCTCCAGAGCATATCCCCTAAGCTCAATACGCAGTTATCCCACAGCCATCTTATACAAGTAGTAGCCAAAGGTTTCTTAAAAAGGAAAATGTAGTTCATACTATATTAGAAACTGTATAGAATCAGTGCAGTGCTCAAAAACGAATAAGACCTGAGGCTGTGACTTGTACTATGCGTTTTTTTCCCAGAGAGGAGCTTCCTGCTAGTGTAAAAATAGCAGCAGCTCTGAAAAGATGCATTTCACTGGTCCCATTTACTCTTACAGACCCTGGTCCACAGAAGGGGATTGCCAGTAGTGTGATGCTTTCCTGGAAGGTTGGTGTGCTGGTTTTGGCTGGGGTAGAGTTAATTTTCTTCAGAGTAGCTAGTCTGGGGCTGTATTTTGGATTTGTGCTGGAAACAGTGTTGATAACACAGGGGTGTTTTCATTAGTGCTGAGCAATGCTTACACAGAGTCAAGGCCTTTCCTGCTCCTCACACCACCACACTAGTGAGGAGGCTGGGGGTGCACAGAAATCTGGGAGGGACAGCTGACCCCAGCTGAGCACAGGGATATTCCATCACAAAAGACATTGTGCTCAGCAGTAAACTAGGGGGAAGGTTGGCTGGGGGGCCACTGCTTGCAGACTGGCTATGCATATATCGCTTGGTGGTGAGCAATTGTTTTCATTTGCATCACTTCTCTTCCTTGGTTTTTATTTCTATTTCCTTTTCTTTTTTTTTTTAATTTTTATTTCAATTATTAAACTGTTCTTATCTCAACCCACAAGTATTCTCATTTTTACCCTTCCAATTCCCTTCCCCCATCCTCTTGGGGCAGGAGGAGAGGGAGTGAGCGGCTGTGTGGTGTTTAGTTGCCGTCTGGGGTTAAGCCCACAATAGTTGGATACTCCAGATTTTCTACTTTGCTCAAAGGAAATAGAAAATGGGTTTGATTTTCTACAATCCAGTTTTGCTCATGTGTTGCAGATAGCTTTCTCCCTTGCAGAAAACCTAGCAACCGCTCATCTGTAGCGTGAAAGAGTGCTAATCCCTTGAGCAGCAGCATTACAGTTACAGTAAGATTTTTTTTCTTCTCCCAAAAATCTTGGCAAAAAAAAAGACAAGAGGAATTCTTGCATCAGCAAATTTGGGAGATGAGGCCCATATGTCTTTGCACTGCAAGGAGAATGCATTATACTATAACAATGAAGGGAAAGGAGCTTTGCTGTCAAACCCGCCAAAGGTTTTATTGAACTCTACTTTAAAGGCCTTTTGAGACATATTGGAGACACACTTGCCGTTGCTGAAGGAAATCATTATTGGCTAGAAACTTCCAATTAATTCATTCAGAAATTGCAAATGTCGTCAACTTACCGCTGTGCTCCTCGGACGATGCAGGATACTGGAGGAGGTTAAGCCCAGATGAAGGACAGATGGTTTCACTTACAGCCAGGAAAGATTGAGTTAATGCCAATCATCGAGGAGCCAGCGAGCACCTTTCTGGCCTGTGATTAGTCATTGATGGTGGATCAAAACCACATTCTTCTACCTCCAGTGAATAGGAGTGGTTTTTCTAGCCCTGTTGGAGGAAGACACAGCTGCTTTTATTCATGTGTCCCATCACCTTCAGGCTGGGCGTATTGGAACAACTCTTATTCAACTCAGACCAGAAGCTTACCACGAGGCCAGCGAGCACCTTTCTGGCCTGTGATTAGTCATTGATGGTGGATCAAAACCACATTCTTCTACCTCCAGTGAATAGGAGTGGTTTTTCTAGCCCTGTTGGAGGAAGACACAGCTGCTTTTATTCATGTGTCCCATCACCTTCAGGCTGGGCGTATTGGAACAACTCTTATTCAACTCAGACCAGAAGCTTACCACGAGGCTGAAGCTGGTTCTCACTATAGCGATCCCTCTTCTACATCAAAAACCCCCAACCTGCAGGGCTCTGCAGCTTCGAACAACTTCCTAGTCCTTACCTGACCCATGCCAGTGGTCTGCTGCTAGTCAGACCCGCAGGACAGACTGACTGCAGTCAGAGGGTGCGTAAACTGGAGCCCTCAAGGTATCCCCAGGAGGCACACCCTTCTCACTGCTTCCTTGCCCTGTAAACAGAGACCACACAATGTTAAATACACTGCTGGATCTTCATTTTCTCTCATGGCAGCACTTTCTCCCACAGAAGGGATTCAGGGACACCCAGTTCCCTGAAGTCTGGCAAAATCAGGCAGGAGACCTACCAGATGACCAGAGTGTGCCCTTTCCTCATCACTCAGACCCGTTTTTTCCATGCTGCTCTACCACCCAAGCTCCACAGTCACCCTAGCATGGCAGCAGAGCCAAGCCACCAACCAGCCTGTAATTGGATAATTCTTATGTCTGTTGTCATCTTACCCACATACACCAACTCAAACACACACAGAAAGTCCTGGGGAGAAAGGACCATTCAGCAGCAGAGTCATGAGATGCTGAAGGTAATTGTCACTGTCATGGGAGGCCGCAGGAAAAGGAGGAATTTAACTCACTGATGGCAGCTCTTGTTAAGCCAAGGGATGAAACCTGTTCAGCTTGAACCACTTTGATCTTTGTGAACGAATCTCTTTCACCCACACCTGAACATCCATGAGGCCAGAGAATGGCTAAAAGGGATTCCGCTGCTTGGGGAGTTGCTTGCACCCTCACTCACTGGGGTTTATTACTCTCTTCCTAATTGTTTTCTTTTCTCTTCCTGAAAAGCCTTGCTGGGGAGATAGCAAAATAAGCTTCAGAGAAAGGTTCTGATAGGATTTTTTTTTGTAGACACCAAGGCAGGAAATGTATTCTGTTGTTCCTGAAATAAAGCCAGGTCACAGTGGTATCCAGCCCTTTTCCTTCCCCTTTAATACTCTTTTGCAGTGAGTTATGGAAATATGGGAGGAGGAGAAAAGAAATCTTTCAAGAGACAGGCATCTAGAAGAAAAAGATTTGGCATGATATTGGCAGCAGCTGAGGTGTAGGTGTTAGCCCATGAAGGTGTGGAGTTTCATAGCCAAATATCATGCAAAATATGCAGGCAAGCCCAGCACAGCAAACTTGGTTGGGGTAGAGGTGGTGAGAGATTGGGTTTAATGACATCACAGTTGCAATGGGAGTGCCAGTGTCAGCTCCCTTGACCTTATAAGACCCTATTTCATCTTCCTGTAGCTCAGTGTCAGAGCTATAGAGTGGGAATAACTCAACATCCTTTCTTCATCTTCTTCAAAACGTTTCTCTCTTCACCGTGCGCACGCAGCGCTTTGCGCTCAGAGGACGTAACTTCAGAATCTGTACCATAGTTCAACTAGGAGCTCCTGTGATCAGCCAGACCAACAAAGACTGGTTTGCTGAGCATTTGTGCCTCAAGGGTAAGCTTATACGTGGATCTTCTGGTGTGTCATGAGAGCTGAGGTCTTTCTTCAGCCTGCTCTTTAGTAGAGCACCAGTAGAACATTTTCCCTTGGATGCTCTTCTGACCTGTGAGTGCCTTCTGACTTCACAGGCTTGGGCCAGGCAAAGGCGCGAGGAAAACAAAAGCAATGAGTTTATGGAGTTGCAGTTGAGATGCCTGGCACGGAAACAAACAGAACCTGCCACAGGAGGGAGAGATATTTCCTGAGAACCAAGCAAGGTGTCCGCGAGGTGTAGCAAGGCCTCTGCAGGCGGCCATGCAGTTTGGAAGTGAGTCCGGCGTTGGGAGAAAAAGGAGGCAGTGAGGAGCCAGGAGCCTTGAGGACAGCCTATTCACCTCTGTGTTTCCTCAGCTGTAAAATCAGATGATAACATCTCTTACTCGGAGGAATCATTGTCTTGACCTGTCTTACAGCACTTTGTGCAGGCAGAGCTTGCTCTAAATGCAAAATTCTGACAAGATTCAGGCACTGCAGAGACAACTGTGAAAATAATTATAAGGGTGGGGAGAGGGGTAAGTTGTCCAAACGTTTTTATATCTGGCCAAATTTTGTTTGAATTCTTACCCTGAGTGTTCAGATGTCCCTAGCGAGCCTGAATTATCCTTGTGTTACCCACAGATGAGGTTCCCTCAGGTCAGGGTCAAAGTATAAAAAGCCCGGCATGGACTCGAGATAAACACAGATCTTTGTTTTGTGAAATCTAGCAGTTATGAATCTGGACCTCTGACTGAGAAACGTAGCTCTCTCCTGCTTCTTCTTAGTTTTTAAAAGAAACTCTAGCTCCATCTAAAGCAGATTTTGGGGGTGGAAAGATGCCAAGTTCTGTACAGTCAATTTCCAACATCCTTAAATGCACTTGAATTTTCCGGGACTGTTTTTTATCCTGCTGCTGGGTCAGAGCTGAAGTTCCTTATGGGGTTCTTCCTCAGGCAAAAACCCCAGTGTAGTAAAGTGTAGAAAAATAGGGGCAAAACTGAGCCAGGATGTGAGAATTCGGCTGTGGTCTATTTGCTCCGACCTTGTGAATGGGGCAGCGAGCTAGGATGCCGGACACAGGGATTGTCTGCCTCTTCCTTCTTGTTTTCCTGCTGTCGCCCTACCCTGACCCCCAAGTTCCCAGCTGTTTTCCTTTAGCTGCTCACGTGTGTTTTGAGCATATTTGCCAAGTGTGTAGGACATCACTGATGATGGGGTTTGGTGTTTTGGGTTTTTTTTGCTTTATTGCAAAACCTCCCATGTCCTTCAAAGCATGTAAACAGACTCATCCTGAAGAAAGCGTGTGACTCCTTTGTTTTTCATGTGTCCGCTGTTGTCTTTCTGTGCGTGTGCTGTTTCTGTTGTTGTTCTGGCAGAAATGCTCCTATCTTAGGTTGAAGTGACTTGCAGGGCTTTTAAGGGCTTGTGGGGAAGATTTCCTAAACCTTGGTATTTCCTGTTGTGAGAAGTCCAGTCTGGGCTAAACTGAAGAGAAAGAGAATTGCTGAAGGAAAATATTTAGATGGCTTTGATTCCATTTTTTAAAAAAAAGGCCTCATGGAAAACTTCATGCAGAGATATTAAGTTCTTAGGTTGCAGCACAGAGCCTCAGCAGCTCTACCCAGAGCAAGAGAAAGAGGTCAGCTAGGAGAGAGAGGAACCTTTTGTTTATGACTCAATTGCTCACTCTTCCTTTAGATCAGGACAAATTTTGAAGCTGAATTTATGTGTATTTTGAAAAATTGAAATGCTTTTGTTTGACATGAAAAGCATAGTTTGTCTTGGAGATTTTCCCCCAGTTTTTCTACTGGGGAGTTCAATTTCAAAGTATTTTTGGCTTTTCCAGTTTTGGAAAGCTTCTAAGTTTTGAAGTTTTGCCAAATCCCTGTGAAAAATTAAAGAAAGACAAGAAAAAAAAAAAGAAGGACCATTTTTCATTTCTCTCCACATTTTTCACAGGAAATACTTCACGTTTTTGATGAACTCTGCTTTTCTGCATTGCCAGTTCACAGCCTGAACTGTAGAAATTAAAGGGAAAGGCAGTGTATGGGTCAGAGCATTACATGGAGTTGGTATAGAGTGCAACAAAGAACACAGAATACACTCGCTAGACCTTTTGCAAGATGCATTTTAAATAAACTTAAGGAGATTTTCTGGATTTGTTAATTTAGTCATATTTGAAGGTCATCATGGAGGCCGGGGTCCCTAACACGTGTAACTGTGTATGGCGCTGTACCACAGGTTCCTCTCTGCAGTGTGTAAGGGTTGAACACATTCAAATCTGTGCAGAGTTTGTCTTATTTTTCACATGGAGCCTGACTTTCTGCTGGCATAAGGCCATGAAAATCACTGAAAGCCATATGGGCTTCCATGGGCAGCCTCCCTGCAGAGGCAGAAGTTGGTTATAAGGGTTAATTCCATTCTTGTAACTTTTCCATTACACTTTTCCATCCTATTACACTTGGCCAGCTCATCTCAAAAAAACCCTTCATCTCTGTGTTGGGCATTCACGCTGGGGTTGTTTCCAAATCTACTCCTAATTTGCCTTCACTCAGGAGCAAATCTGACTTGTCTTCTCGTTTTTCCCTCCATTCTGTCAAATCTGAAATGCAACAAGATTTCTCTGGGCTTCCTCCATCCTGGGGAGCCGTGAGGCAGGGAGCACTCCTCAGGGCAGTGGCTGTTCTCTCTAACCCCTCGTGTGGGCAGCAGGTCAAGGGAGGGGATTCTTCCCCTCTACTCTGGTCTCATGAGACCACCCCTCGCAGTTCTGCATCCGGCTCTGGTGCCCCCAGCAGCAGAAGGACACAGAGCTGTTGGAGCAAGTCCAGAGGAGGCCCTGGAGATGCTCCAAGGGCTGGAGCCCCTCTGCCATGGGGACAGGCTGGGAGAGTTGGG